CCTCGGAGATACGTTCTTCTTCCTCTGAGTCATATTCTAAGTCTTCATTGGGCTGGAATTCAAGTTCAAGGGTGTCTGTGAAGGTCACGGCTTTTTCTAAATCTGTATATACCAAGCCTGTTACTCTATGGATGGGTGGTATTACTGGTTTACGCTTTAGGCTGAAGTACTTATTTATGACCCAGAAGGCTGTTCCAAGACCCTTGAGAAATTCACCCTATTTCACGTTTTTAAATATATAAATCTTTTTCCTGATTTCACTTGAAGGACGGTTGGCCTCCCTTCTGCTCTCCGGGTCACCCGTTATTTGAGTAAATTTCCGGATTCTATTTTGATTTCTAATCATGTTTTTAATAGGCTGCGGTAAGTTAAAATAACTGTATGGTTTCCTATATTTGAGGGTGAAGCTATCAGAGGCATGCTTTAATAGATGGGCCAGGTTCTGTATACAGTTATCCAATTTTTCTGAGGTTTCTGGATGGTTTTTGATGCAGCTAACGTCTACCAAGTTCTTGAGCGCGTTCCAGTCGCTGGTAGATAACGTAGGGGTCATAGTGTTCATGGAACAGTTCATGGGAAGAATGAATAGAACCGGTTTATGATCAGAGTCTAGCTCATCTAAAACTTTCATATGCAGGGTATAATCTAGGTTGGACATGCCGAGGTCTATTATATGGCCTTGGCATGTCTATTATATGGCCTGCTTGGTTCCACAAACGGTCGGGTCTACGTCCCGGAGCCACTCGTCATCAACGACGACCAAGAATCGTTTAACATCCCCCAATAGGACTCTTCAAGTGATTGGAATTCTTGTAATGGCTGGTGTCACCTTAGACCTTGCTCCGGATTGGTCTCGCATCATGGTTGGAATTCAAATTTCATTGGCAATTGCTGCCAAACTCCGCCTATTATTCCACCACAAAACCACTCACACCTGCAACGTACTAGCGTAGTCTCCGTAATTAATTGTTCATCCCCTCTCAAAATTCTACAATTCAACTGTAATGGTCTAAGAAGGAAACTATTTGAAATTGCAGCATTCATGTCCTCCAACAACATTGCAGTAGCTGCACTGCAGGAGACTAAACTTTTGCCCAACTTCCCTCTCTTTCCCCCCTCAGGCTTTACACTTATTCGTAAAGGTCGACCTAGAGGCGCAGGAGGTGGCGTTGCTTTTCTGTTGCGGGATTCTACATATCATTTTGAGCTTTCTTTGCCCTCGTCTAATGACGAATACTTGGAGATTATAGGGTTAAAAATTTTCATTGGTAGGTCTTTAAGGTTCCTTGAACTAATCAATATCTATTTGATATCCAACTCTAGCTGCCCTCCGCAGCACACCCCAAATATTTCACATCTTCTAGATGAGGACTCGCGTTTTGTTCTGGGTGATTTGAATGCACACCATTCCCTCTTTTGGTGTTCTAAATGAGGACTCCTCCACTAGGGTAACGCCAACCTGTTCCAGCTCTCCTGATGTCAGTCTCGCAAGCCCTCGGCTTCTCGCTGCCTCGAATTGGAGTGTTGATATAGCTTTAAGCTCGGATCACACTCCCATCACAATTTCTATTCCATCGATCGAGGTCCTCACTGCGGCTGACAAGAAAACCTACAGGAATTTCAAAAAAGCGAATTGGGCCCTTTTCAAAGATATTTCAGAACGCGACTTCAGCAACAGTTCCCTGTCCTCTGATTTGAACAAGGCAGAGAAACAATTTCGCAGCATAATTATCAAAGCTGCCGCCACAGCCGTCCCAGCAGGTAGAATTAAAACCATTAGACCAGGTTTTCTTAGTGACGCTGTGCCTCTTGCTGAAGAACGCGGCAATCTTCGAAGATTGAACCCAACCAATCCACACATAAAAATCCTGAACAATAACATCCGTAAAATGGTGGACGATTATCGTCTTAGTAAATGGAAGGAACATTTAGATAATTGCGACCTCCAAAATGGTAAATTGTGGACTACCATTAAAGCACTTTCTAATCCTCCCTCTTTACTTCCTGGACTAAAGAGGAATTCTTGACTCTGCCCATAAATATCGGTGAAATCAGGATCCCTACCACCACCAAACCTAAAATCCTGGGTGTCGTACTCGACAGTATGCTGACTTTTTCTGCACATGCGTCTGCTATGTGTGACCGGCTGAAATCGCGTAATAATGTGTTAAAAGCTCTCGCAGATTGTTCATGGGGCAAAGATGAAGAAACCCTACTGAGTACATACAAAGCAATAGGACGTCCTATTGCGGCCTATGCAGCTCCAGTATGGACCCCACAACTCTGCGAGACGCAATGGACCAAAATCCAATCATGTCAAAACACGGCATTACGGGCTGCAACTGGCTGCCATAGCATGTCGCATGACGACCACCTTCATGCAGAATCAAAAATGCTTCTTGTAAAAGAGCACAATTATCTACTGTCCCAGCAATATCTTCTCGCGTGCCACACAGATGGTCATCCAAATGGCGTCATGACTAGTAGTGCCTTCCTTCCTAGATGCATTCGTCGATCTCTCCTTTCTTTTAATAATTCTATCGACACCTTTTGTAACGGAGCTAACATCAGTGAGGTCGAATATAAACGTGGACTTACGGCTCTCAACACACCGATGCAGTATCTTCTTCTAGACCTAGGTTGTCTGACAACAAGGTTTTTAATAGGTCTCCGCCTGAAATCTCCTCGGATGA